TCATTCGTTTCATTCACTATTATAGTCTACAGTTATGTGTTTCATTTACTGTTAGAGTCTACTATCATGTGTTTCATTTACTATTAGAGTCTACTGTTTTCTTCACTATTAGAGTCATGTGTTCAACTAATTGTTGCACATTACTGTGTTGGACCGACTGTTATATGCTTTACTGCCTTGCGTTCAGTTTGCTCTACTATTACGCGTTGCAGTTAGTTCACTGTTATATGTTGCACTTTGTTGCGATTTACTATTATGCGTTGGATATTTCCAGAGGTCGTTGCACATGAATCATAATCTGCGTGTACAGACGTGTCTTAGACTATAGGTGGCAATCTATGTGTACGTATCCCCTTATATTTATACAAATAACTATAATGACAATTCTTTGCCTTTTTGAATTTCGTATTGTTTTACGCCGCACTCAACACTTGTCCACCCCAGGCAAGTCAACCTGTAAACATTTACGAATAAAACCGCAAACGAGCGTTGCATCCGATCCAACCTACCCCCATCAAGACAAACAACAACTTGCGGAGGTCGTGTTATAACCCGAGTTTCATATCACAAGCCTCACCCGAACCACCTCTCTCTGTCTGTGTGTGTGTGTGTGTGTGTGTGTGTGTGTGTATTGTGTGTGTGAATAGATGTATGTATGATAGATTATACATAACCATACCCAACCTCCATAACTGCAATTAGAACAGGGTCCACGTCACCCTAACGTAATACACACACAATAACACTGTACAGTAACACTGCGTTAGTGTCATGAATATTCACTGAATAACATTTCGACTATCTAACGTCCTGCATAGCCAAAACATTTCTCATCTTAATAACCATCCTTAAAAGGATATATTAAGTCCTACGTAGGAGATACTAAGTCCCTACGTAGGAGATGTTCAGTCTACGTAGGAGATAGTGACCCCCAAAAATCTTTCACCTTGCCGTGGCCCTACTACGCTTCCGTACAAAAATATACAATTCTGCTTTTTGATAACATTTACAGAGGGAATCTACCAAACTCGCCATATAACATAAAGTTAGTTGTACTTTTCTGAGCTATACTAAATATTTGAGAAAGTCTAGATGGACACTTTCAAAGCAAAAGAAGTATTTTCAAACCCCAGACCTCACATCCATATAGAAGAATCGGGGTGACCATACAATCAAACAATTTCAAATGACAATCAATAGAAAGTTTAAATTTTCTGCCTTGGCGTAATACAAAGAACATTGCTATTGTTGCCTTTTCCACCAGTATACGTTTGGTTTTAGTAAATTTACTATTCTTTTGTAGTGTAATGCCAAGATACGGATAATAATCTACATTTTCCAGGATAGTATCTCCAATATTGAAACTTCTTTTGGATGTGTTAATTTTAAGTTTCCATTTTTTACAATAATTATGAAAAGAATGTAATATATTTTGCAAATCTCAAGGATCAGAGGACATAAGGACGGTATCAGCATATAGCAAGGCAAAAAGTGTAATGAGCGTATCTAAGCGGTTGTGGAAATCACCGGGTTTAAGTTGTAAACCACAGCATGAATCTGAAGCTAAAGCATCTTCAAGATCATTAAGAAATAATGAAAACAAAACTGGAGACAAGTTCTCTCCTTGGCGGACACCTAGTTTACATAAAAAGAAATTATATAATTTTCAGGGTTTTTAGGATCGCCTTTATTTTTATAAATTGGTTTGATGATACCAGTTAGCCACTTATCTGGGAAGATACCAGTGTCAAGTACAATGTTTAAAAGTAACAAAAATATCTAAGAATATATCAATCGTAGTAGAGATATATTCATTTACCACATAATCAATTCCAGGGGCTTTACTATTTCTAAGATTTTCACACGTGATACTATTTCATCATTAGTAATTTCAGAGTTTAGTATAGTGCTATTTCCAGTGTCGACGTGGGGAAGATAATCATAATAATTATGTTCGACAGGTAGCTCTTCATTTTGCGATTTAAAAAATAAAAAAAATAATCAATTTGTGGAGAATGTTCTGAGCCCGTTTCTGCTTTACATTTTTTAGTATTTTCCATAAGGAACGTGAATCATTTTTCCGAAGTTGTGATAGTTTATCCTGGATGGATTTAGTATGTTTATTAGAAAACTATAGACATTTTTTTGTAATGTTTATTGGCATTTTGCAATCGAGATTTGTTCTGGGATGATTTACAATTTTGGTATATCCTTTTTGCTTCGAAGTATTTTCCCCGTGAAATTTTGCATTGTTTGCCAAACCAAGGTTGATTAGTGCGATTTTTTAAGGGATGTCGAAGCGATTGATTTTTGCATTTAAAGCCAAAAAGCTTACCTGCTGTAGAGACAAGCACATTGCTTATGGCATTATTAACAGGAGTGATTACATGGAGTGGGTCATCAGAACCCTCATTAAGAACATTGACAATAGATTGTATAACTAAATCTGAGTTACCAACAGCTTCAACGTACTCATTCGCACGTGCTTTCTCCTGATCTCGGGAGTTTCATTATGTACAGTGGGAGTGGTATTACTATTCACAACAAAAGGCTTTGTATAAAAGGATACAGAAACTGGTGAGTGAATATCAGAAAACAATGGTTCAAACTCGTGCACTTTAAAACCAGCGACAGCGTGGCAAATAACTGCGCTTGCTATGGCGTAATCAACCACGCTTACACCTTTACATGTAACTCTACCTATCCCTTTATCCTCTCCAATCCCACCATTAAGAATATACAAATTGTTATTTTTACAAAAGTCTAGGAATTTATAACCATGTGAATTTACTCTACCCTTGTCTTCATTACATCTATGGATTGGGATACCGTATGATTGTAGTTTATCGACATCATTCATAAAATCACACAATTCTAATGGAAGCATTTCCTCATTTACAATATCATTGTCACATGATACATAATCTTCCAATATTCCCGTACGAGCATTTATATCCCCGATTAGGAACAAACTTTCACATATGTCAGATAAAACATTGTTTAGCTCCGGGAATGTATCATCGTCATAATACCTAGAACCCTCAGGGGGTATATAGGTAACTCCAATATAAACACAGTCGTTGGAGATATTTTGACATTTAAAGTGAATTTAATCACTTGAGGTTTCAAAGATAAGCACATAATCCGATTTAAGTTCAACCAGTTTAAAATATTTGCTAATGTCGGTTCTGATTGCAACAAGTATACCACCCGATCGTTTGTTCGTAACAGGGGTTCCGTTGTTGTAGAATATATCATAGCCTGGTATATCAATAGAATCAAAGTCGTCTAGTTTGGTTTCAACGAGACACAGAATACTGTACTCACTTATGAGTTTACAAATTCTGGAACAATCAATCTTGTTTTCAGTCCACAAACATTGAGATATAGAAGATTGAGATCGTCATTGTGTTCCGCTTGAGTTTGTGTTTTGTTGGTTTCACTGTGAGTGAAAGCTATACCATTCTCGTTTACCTTGACTGACGTTCGTCACACAGCTATAGTCATGTTGATCATCATTCTCGTTTACCTTGACTGACGTTCGTCACACAGCTATAGTCATGTTGATCATCATTCTCGTTTACCTTGCGGATCTTGTTTGGTTGTGTATATCTCACGGCGTTGGCGTATGTGTTTCTGTTGGTTGGGCGACTATCCCCGAACAGATCGTCTCCCGGATAACACCGTCTGCCATCGATGTACAGTTTATCAACAGTTAGGTTAGCTTTGCAACCTCGACACCGTGCCTCTTTAAACAGAGGAAGAAGTTCCTTACGCCTACTAACGATTTCAGGGGGAAATTGCTCACTAATTCCATAAAGTGTGTCTCTGAGTGCCCGGGTGCTAGTTAAAACTTGCCAACGTTCATCCGAGTTGCAAATTTTGCAACAAGTGTACGGGGTCTGTTAGATTGGCGTGGTCCTGTTCTGTGGGCGCTCACAAGTTGAACATCAACTCATACTTGAGATTCTTCTTCACGAAGTTCTGGACAACTTCGCGTGGTTTTTCTCCTGACATTTCAGGGATTCCGTGGAAGAGAAGATTATCTCTCATTGAGCGCACTTTAATATCCAGCACGGCTTCTTTCATATCTCTCTGCTCCACCTGAATAGAATCTATCTCATAGTACGCCTCTTCAATGTCTCTAGATAATCTATCCCGTTCTTCACCACTATGGTTCTCAACGCTGTTTAAGGTTATTGTTTTCCCTAACCAGCTCATTACATTTGCTTGTGTTTCTAACACAGGCATCGAGTCTGTCAACTCGTTGAGTTGTCTCTTTGAGTGTAACCTCGAGTGAAGTGAGTTTATTGTCAATGCTAATGAGTTTTTTTATCGAAACCTTCAATATGATGCATTCGTTCTTGTACAACATGAACCATTCCCGTAAGATGTTTCATTTGATCAAACAAGGTCCTAATCCAGCTATTATTGACATTGGGGTCTGAACAACTGACCTGACCTTGTGATCCGTGTACTAGTGTTTTATCCGCTGTTCTGTATATTTTGAGCCGGGTCCTTTCCAGATTGTGGGCTGGGGACACACTGTGTAATATCCTGCTGCACTCCATACATTTCCAGGAGTCAGTATGATGATCACAATATTTTATCACAATAGTATGGAGAGCACAGAGATTTCGCGGTCAACAAAAATAAATACAGGCAATCCCTATATAACCGCATTTACGTTTTAGAAGTGTACTGCTTGTCAGCAGGAGTGCGTTGTGATTGGGTGGCAGTTCAAACGCCTCGCCCAATCAAACATCACTCAGATAAAGTTAAATGGAACCTCACATTCCATATGGCTTGTGCTAGTCTGATAACAGGTACATGGATCGCCATGAGATAGGAAAAGTGTTGATTTTTTCTTTTCCGAAAGATCTTCACGGGTTCAAGTGTGCAAGAAATATTAGATATTTGTACAGAGAGCGTGATAAAATAGCATAAGGTCGGGTAAATGCATGTTTAAAAATAATAATAACAATTAAAAAAAGAAATTAAGAGCAGGGAAGGTAAACAAATTCAGTGTGATTTCAGTGTTGTGTCAAATGAACTATCACTATCTGTATTTCAGTGTTCGTTGTCGTCGCGTTCTGTGGAGTTTCCTTGTACCAGTATATGAATGTCTTCACGACCTCAAGGGGAAAGATACTTCGTGGTAAGTGTTCCCTTATGTACTGACATCAATTAGTAAACACACATGTACATTCAACCAAAGTGAAAATTTGACAGTTGCCAAAGTGAATCCTGCGATGGAAGTAGATTATTGTTATGAAAATAGACCCATGATCTGGGATATCCTCGAAGGAACAACACATACGCTGAAATATGGAAACGAGCTCTTTTCCAAATTCGTGCAAGACCTAGTGTTGATTCATATACACTCGTCTACCCGGCTCATCCCAAATGTGTTCGATCGGGTTCAAGTCTTGGGAACAAGAGGGCCAGTCCATGACAATCAACACCGGCGTTACGTAGGACGTTGCATGTCAGAAACGTAGTGAGACAAACCTGTTTCACTTCTCCTGGTTGAATTTGGCATTTCTGCTGACCAGACGTTGAATATGTTGGAATTGGATCCTATGTATGGTCGTCTGTCTGCGGTCTGCAGTCGATTTCTGATGTTCCTCCGAACTGGAGGTTGCAGTCACAAATCTGTCGCAGTCATGGCAAACCTGGTTTGTACGTCATCTTGTAACGTCATTCGCGCAGCTCAAACCTTGGGCATTCTACAACGTCGCCTGTCTGTTGCACGTCCTTAGACTCAGTATTGACTGACGACCAGAGCCTAGCATACTGCTACAACAGATTGAGCATGGTTCGCTTACGTTGCTGATTTCTGTGCCACGACTTGCTCGCTAAATGATTTAACTTATGATGATGATTTGGAGATTTTATGTGTGCTTTCCGACATGATACTATCGAAAGAGTTCCACTGAAAGACATTACATTGCTGAAGGGGGCGTTTGGGTTGCATATCTATATTGGTAGGAAATTGCCATGGGGAGAAGCGGAAGTACTGGGTGGTTAGGTTGGTATTTGGATTTTGTTTCTCTTATTTAAGGTTATGTGATTTTGATGGGTTTTTTTATATTGGTACTTGTGGGATATGCATGACAATATCCAGTTTTGAAATATACCAAAGACATTAAAGGTTTGGGCGATATTTAGTGAATTTAGGAGTGTTTGTAATGATACGTTTGTGTTTATGTCCAGCAAAACAGTTTGGGGCACCATTCTGTGTTGCTTGTGGTATGTGTAGTTGGACATGTTTGGGTGTTACGCCTTTGAATGACATTTAGAAATGATACACATAAGGAAGAGAGTTTTTTTATGGATGTCAACTTCTTTATTATGAGGATCAGGCGATGATGTAGTAAGGATATACTCCGAAAGGTTGTGTTCCCCAAGAAGTTGGACATCTATAAAAACTCTCTACCTTATGTTTGGCTGTTACGTTGCACTATGTGCATTTTCTCCCATCTTTGTTATTCTACGTAGGGTCGAATTTATTTGTGCGACCTGTTTGTAATTTGGGTATCTCCCTGTCAGTATTTTTAGATCTATGGTAGTTTTTTTTGGTTTTGTTGAACCCATTGAGATAATCTGTTTGAATGATAATTATATTGTGTTATTTGGCGAGCGGTTCTTGGATCGATGTTACTATGCCCATTACTTCCTTCCTGAATATTGAATGGTTGTCTATGATTGAGAGGGTTGTTGTGTGTCGATGCCTAAACCCATGCATTTTGTCTATGTAAATGTGACACCAATTCGGCCAGTGTTCCTGCATGCAAACAAGTGTTGTGTTTTGGGTTTGTTTGTTAATTGTTCCACCGGTGGGTTTTGTATTTATATTAGGAATTATTAGTTTAGTTGTGAATATGGTGGATGAATTGGTGTTTTGTTTTAGCTGATTTTAGATGTGTTCAGTTATGAAGTTCATTACGCTTTGCGATATTGGGGATAGAAATGGTTTTTGTGCGTGCATAAGCTTGACGCTTTGGTGCTCATGTTGGTATTTATGAGTAGTTTGATGGTGGGTTATGTTTGGGTTGATAGCCAGAGGTTTTTGGTTAATCCTTCCCGTCTTAGTTCTAAAGGAATTTCACCTGTTAGTGTTTGTAATGAGATAGGTGAGGGTCCTTACTGTGTGCGTGATCGTTTATGAGGCTTTGTATTGTACTTAGAGTGTTGTAGATTACGCAAACTTTCCATTTTCTGTTATAGTAATATCCGTGTGCTTATGTGACTCACTGCACGCGATTTTTGTGATTTAGGTATAATATATAATTTTCAATTCCAGTTAGAAATATTGTTTTCCAAGAGTCCCCTCCTCTTGACAAATTGTTGGACCTCTTAACGGATATTGTACTGAATGTATTATGCTATTGTATTATTGCTAGGGATATGTGAACCGGCGACTCACCGTGACACCGTGAAGGAAGAATCTCGTTTGTTGTCCATGCAAGGTAATTATTATGACTCACATGTTATTTTTGTACAAAGGATTAATTTGAATTGTAATGAATCGAACAGTTGCATCATGCACAAACTGTTGTGTGATGTGTATTAACAAAATTATATTTTCTTTTGAAATATATTATATGTTTAATATTCTGATACCTTAAACATGACATCCTATATTGTAAGTATAATTGGAACTTGTACATGCGTACAATACATCAAGTAACAGAGAAAATATCCTGTATTCCATTTAATGTCTCTATTGAAATAAAATTAAAATTAATATATTGACATCTTATTTCAGAAAAGCATCTGGTGTCTTCCACTTTCTTCGCAGACAATCTCAAGATGTCGAATACTATATTTCAACAAAAGATAGCCGGTATGTGCATCTCATCTCACGAACATGGGGAGATACTGCCACATAAATACCCGCGAGGACCCGGGTTAGAATTGGTCTTCAGCAACCCAAAAGACCCGAATGATGCGACTAATGGGATGGGCCCGCTGACTTTGTTCACACGTGTCGTCGTATCCTAATTGCAATATACCAAAAGACCGATGCTCATGTTGTTGGCTGGATTGTGTGGTCCAGATTTGATGATTTACAGACCGTCGCCATATAGCTGGAATATTGCTGTGCGCGGCGTAACACTCAAATCACTCACTCACTCATAACGTGGTAAGTACCATGGGTCATATGGTATTGATCAGTAAGTCAGTGACACCAGACATTCGTCAAAATATTGGTAATTTTGTCAATATAATTAGAAAGTATCATGAAAGAAGTTTCAGGGTCCTAGTCAGGGTATTGCTCCGGTAGATAATGTGTTAGATTGTGATACTGATGAGAGATGTTAAGTTTGATAATTTTGCTGACAAGGCGAGCCCTTAGCTTTGCAATTCTGAGATTTTAGATCCGTACATCTAGAAACCAGTGACAACTTCGCTCGCATATACGAAGACTGGTAAGTTTCTCTTTGTTGCGCAACCCTACTTGCGGCACAGTTTGCATGTGAGTCAACATGTACAAGCTTTTGATGTGCTTAGTTTCATGATCTTACTCCAGTGGACCATCCGGTCCTTTATTGACATCACACTTTGTGTCTTTTTTTCATTTTTTCATCTTCCCTATTAGGGGCCGCAAGATTTTATATATCATACAAGAATCAGTGAGGTATTTGTCATTTGCAGCCTTGAAGAAACACAAGTTATGGGCTCAACTGGATCCCATTTCCAACTGTACCGGACGTGAAAAAGGACGTAAGTCACAGCTTTCTCTATCAGTTTTATTGTAAATGCTACAGTAATAGACATATGTACGCACTGTGTCCACAAGTGTACATACTAGGATTATAAAAAGATAACAAATTGAAACAAGTCTGCTGTGGTTTGCCACATTGCGTCAGTGATGGAGAGCGCTGAACCAGTATCAGTGTTTGAATACACCACTTCGAACCTGACTTCATCTAGATATAGGGGTAGTCTAGTGGTTAAATCGTTCGCTCGTCACGCCGAGGACCCGGGTTCGATTTCCCATAGTGGTACAGTGGGTGAAGCCCATTTCTTGTGTCCCCTGCAGTGATATTCCTGGAACATTGCGAAAATCGACGTAAAACCATACTCACTCACTCATCCGGATATGTGTACAAAATAACGACGACAGAACCATATCCACAATATTAACAATTCTCTCATGTCTTAAACATGAACTATATTATACTATAGCCCATATATTTTGAATACATCTTGCGCCTGGATACTTTGTGACGTCGTGTAATAATCTGATCATTTATTTTCTAAAACTTGTTGCAGGCAATGACCTGTGATATAATTAATTTAGTGGATACTTTATAGCACATTATCTACAGGATTTATATATTATGAATATGAATACATAATGTTTGAGTAACATTATCACTGAAATAATGCTGACATCAGCATATACATTTTGATTCCCTAATTCAGTGACTCCATGTTCTACACTACAGCACAGTTATGTGACGACACAGGAAGGTGTTCTACATCGCTTCCGGCTGCTGACAGCATGGATAATATTAAAAGTATCCTTACGCCATTGACGAAAATCAAGGATGGTGCCCTGGAGATGTTGAAGGACATGTTTGGAGCTCCATCTGTTAAAGTGAAGTATGTGTTCCTGACGGCGGCTTCAGCAAATCACTTCACTGAGTCTCAAGCCATGATAGAAACACTGAGCAACAACATTCTGCCCAGTTTGAAGAACTACTCATTCTATTATTACGACATGGGGTTAAAGAAGAATCAAGTTGAACTTGTGAGTTTAACCGTAATTCATATGTAGGCCATTTTCAATAGGCTTTCGTTTAGATGTTGCTTATGGCTTTACTCGGCAATATTCCAGCTGTATGACGGCCGTCTGGAAGTATTGTTTTGGACCAGACAGTTTATTAATGGAGATCACGACCATTGCTGTAAGCATTTATGAATGAGTTTAGTTTTACGCCGCATTCAGCAATATTTCAGCTATATGGCGGTTGTGCTATGCAAATAACCGAGTCAGGACCAGATAATCCAGTGATCAACCACATGATCATCGATCTACGCAGTGGGTTAAGCATGTGGGATACGATGACAATCAAAGTCAGCGAACCTGACCATCCGATCCCGACAGTCGCCTCTTGCGACAAGCATGTGTTGCTAAAAACCAATTCAAACCCAGTTAATGTAAAACGACGCACGGATGTTCAAACAAACCATAGGTAGCCTGGTTTGTTTCTGTCCCCTGAGAACATTCTTTTACCTTCAAAGTTAGGATCATTTGCGAGTCACTACATCATACACACCGATTTGTATGTATAATTACCACTGTACATTGTCTTGTAGCTGCAAAACTTCAGCAAGGCAGAGGTGATAAAATTCCCTTTTCATCGTCTGCCACACCGGTTTGCCAACCTGCGGTGTTATACATGGAAGCCGCTGATACTACAAGTAAGTATAACCATATCCACTCATCAATTCTCATCATATTCTCACACTTTTGTTGCGTTTATTTGATATATATATGATATATTTGATATCAATCGGAAGACCAGGATCGGATTTGATTTAAATGAAAACCACATTTTGACAGGTCCTGTAATGTTTCCCTAGTCTGTCATACAGATCCTGAAGAAAGTATATCCAAGAAAGCCTATGCAAGTCTAGAATGTGTGGCAAGTCTAGAATGTGTGGCATGTCTAGAATGTGTGGCAAGTCTAGAATGTATGGCAAGTCTAGAATGTGTGGCATGCCTAGAATGTGTGGCAAGTCTAGAATGTGTGGCATGTCTAGAATGTGTAGCAAGTCTAGAATGTGTGGCATGTCTAGAATGTGTAGCAAGTCTAGAATCTGTGGCATGTCTAGAATGTGTAGCAAGTCTACAATCTGTGGCATGTCTATAATCTGTGGCATGTCTGTATTTCAAAATGAAGAATGTCTCTTGGCTCCTCCTCACTTTTTATGATTATAATTAACGAACCGTTTTTTCTTTTAAATATGTTCAGCTCAGATACTGTAATATGCAGATGTAACTGTTTTGGGGTGTTTTCTAGTCTATACATCATCCTTGTATATTGTCATATTATGGTTAAATCTTTGCGAAATGGGCATGCTTTTTTCCCATTGAGAAAGTGCATATACAAGTGGACGAGGAAAATTACCGTTCACCATTAGTTCAAATGTAGGTGTTAGGGACCGTTCATAACTTATGGCTAGGGGGTATTGGGACTTTAAGGGGGGTCAACCATTTTGTTCTTGGGAGAAGTGTGTGTGTGTGGGGTGGGGGTGGGGGTTGAAATCAAGTTTGTACACAGGTGGGGGTGTCAGCAATTTTGTACATATTTTGTCAGTATGCTTAACAATTATCGAAAGGGGAGGGGGCGTCATGGATTTTGTACATGACATTGGGGGACTTACTGCGCACATGAATTTTAGGGGGGTCATTCACATTGTACATACTCCTCCATATATATCATCACACACACACACACACACACACACACCATAAATTATGAAGGGACCCTTAACTTGATGAGTTAATTTCTTTGTCTTTTCAGGCTCATTTTGACTCAGCAGAACATGTCATTTGGATGGATTCGTCTGTTCTGTTCACGACAAATAATACACAAGCAATGTTCCAGAGACTTAAGTTGACAGGAGTTATAATGTCCACCGAAAAATTCCCATTTGCTCAGCACACCTCGATGCATTTGTTTTCCTACTTCAATAGTGATCCATGTCACTACTCCATGTACCAAGAAAATGAGGCAAACTTCATACTTCTTCATAATCAACCATTTGTGCGAAAACTTATCATGGACCCTTGGGTAGCATGTGCGGTGGATCCGAATTGTATGTGTCATTACGGAGCAGAAAAACTCTTCCGGTGCCCCACCCATACACGGAAATATGGGAAATGTCATCGTTATGACCAGTCAACTATTGGTCTGATTCTCCTGAAATTATTCAGAAGGAACATAGCGACAATTCTGGCCCCAAAAGGTAAATACGCCCGCATATCAAGATCGAAGGAAAGCGGGCATCGGTACCTTGAAGAACTGTACAATAAAACAAGGACAAGCTTATAGATGAACATATACGTTTACAAGGACACTTCGCAAGAACAATTAGTCTAACAAATTAGGCTACCCAAATAATTGGCTACTTCCGCAGTATGGTGTTCGGTGTATAACTGGCCAGAGGTGCAGTGTATGATTTTGTGTATATAATATTGACTGTCTGCGATGTATGTTGTGTTGTGTATAAGAGGCTATAGATGCAGTAGTATTTGATCTTGTGTATGATATTGACTGTCTCCGATGTCGGCTGTGTTGTGTACAACTATGGGTGCAGTATGTGATCTTGTGTATGATTTTGACTGTCTCCGATGTCGGCTGTGTTGTGTACAACTGGCTATAGATGCAGTAGTAATTCATCTTGTGTATGATATTGACTGTCTCCGATATCGGCTGTGTTGTGTACAACTGGCTATTGGTGCAGTATGTGATCTTGTGTATGCTATTAGCTGTCACCTATATCGGCTGTGTTGTGTATAACTGGCTATTGGTGCAGTATGTGATCTTGTGTATAATACTGACTGTCTCCGATGTCGGCTGTGTTGTGTACAACTGGCTATTGGTGCAGTATGTGATCTTGTGTATAATACTGACTGTCTCCGATGTCGGCTGTGTTGTGTACAACTGGCTATTGGTGCAGTATGTGATCTTGTGTATGATATTGACTGTCTCCGATATCGGCTGTGTTTTGTACAACTAGCTATATGGAACTAGCAGTTGAAATTTATTTGTTTGTAAAATGCAACATTAAAAGACCACGTGATATTCCACATGTTGTAATGGACTTCCGCCATATAGCTGGAGTGAGTGAGTTAAGATTTTAAGTCACATCGGCAATATTTCAGCCATATCGTAACTGTAAACAAGTTGTGAATTCACCTTAAATACATATAAATTATACTGACTGACTGAGTGTAGTTTTATGCCGCTTTTAGCAATATTCCAGCAACATCACGGCGGCATATAAATTACAAAAACCTGCCGACGAAGGACAGTAAAATCAACTAGAATATCACAGTATCAAGGAATAAAACTAACAACTCTCTCTAAAATTGGATTTCAAATTAGGACAACACGGTATAAAATGGGCTATAGATCGCCAACAACTGAAGGTAGATCACCATACTAGGGACCATGGGGACTTACATTACTTTTGCTACCTGCATGGACCCTGGTTGGATTTACATCATCCCTTCAGCTGTCGGCAATGTTTGACAATCTAGCCGTAAATTAAAAGAACATATATGCTACGATTAAGAATAACATTAGGTTTAAATCTACCTAGAATGCTTTGGGACCTACGTACCCTCTCAGGAGGACAATAATTTTACAATACTTTAACCCCCTTTGAGGGTAGAGCCACTAACAATCTCATTTACTAAGCTACCAATAATAAAATATTTATCTATTTACAAATCATTTAACAAATCTAATTCTTTTAAAAATGCAATAATTAAATGAGAACTTATATTATTAAAAAGATCCTTCATAGTTGGTGATGCCATATAGCTGGAATATTGCTTCGTGCGGCGTTAAACAACAAACAAACAAATGCAATGGACTACTGAATAAAGGATATTTTACATTATTTTAACTTCAGTGTTATGTTAAGGAATATAGTGCTTCAAAGACATTGAGGCCGGATATAGTACGGATTTGAAGGCATCAAAGTGCTGTACTGCATATACAAACAATCAAATTGATTCCTAAATGAACTTATCGTCTTCATTGCTGATATAAATATGGAATTCGTTAAAGGATCTTATGCCTACGCAAATTAACACATTCACAGTCCACACATGGTATGAATCTTCAGACATTAATCAGAAGGAACACAGCGACACTATTCAGTTCCCAACATTTAAACACGCACTCATATCAAGATAGAAGGAAAGCGGACATCGGTACCTTGAAGAACTGTACAAAAACACTTGTTATACTCAGCCAAAACGTGTAAAATCTAGTGGCGATCGACAATGTTGATACTTGAGCACAACGGGAAGATGATGGGTTTTTTCCATTTGAGTGAAACCCGTGAAGATCCTGGTTAGAAATGGTCTTCAGTAACCGATGCTTGTCGTAAGACGCGACTAACGGGATCTGGTAGACTAACGCTTAGTCCCTGAATATATATGATTTTGATAGTAACAAATAAACACATTTAAATTGAAAAGGAGCCTCAGTGAGTTGGGAGATTCAGGCACCTGAACCTGTGGAAATCTAGTCTTGCTTCATTCAGGGCTTTTAGCATTGCAGGGAGGGCTAGGTTTTAGGGAAAATAATGTGGTTCGGGGACTGAGGCAGACTAGTGATCGGGTGATCAGGCTTGCTGACATGTCATCGTATCTCATCACGAATGTTCATAATGTTGATCACTGGATTATCTGGTCCACACACGATTATTTACAGACCGCCTCCATATTGCTGGAATATTGCTGTGTCAAAAAAGTAGGGAAACTTCAACTTTATTTTACGATTGAAGTCAATGTTGATATGATAATAATGAATGTTGGGAGAGTGCATCGCCACTTGCACTTCCTTATGACCATAGTTGTTTGTACAGTAATCGCTCTTGAGAGATGATTGGTGTATGACGTGAAATTTGCATGTGTACGATTTTCATTTTCAAACAAAACATCCGGCTAGAAACAAACACTAACAACTGTGTGATACTAAGAACTGTGCGATGCAAGATGATTGTCAAAGTTAATGGTCTACGGTGATTTGCATCTTGCCTCACAAAGGCATGCTAGAAGATGGTAGGTTTCATGATATAAACTGAGTGGTTTGCGCAGAGTGCTTCTTCGGTTAACATGCTGGGATTACGAGGGACATTCCAAGTTCAGATGCTTAATGAGTGATACGTACATATAATCACTTTGTTGGCCGAGGTCTTTTCAGCGGGAACAGCTAAAAACTTTTCATAAGGGCCGCCCGATTTTGAATGACAGCTGGCTGGGACAGAATAGGTTTATTCCAATTCTGTTTCCTCTTTTTCAGTTTGTGAATTCTGCATGACATCACCTACTCTACTCAACCACTCAGAAATACACTCAACAGGTTTTTAGCAAATGCTCTAGCAACACCCGTAATGATTTTAAAGTGATCCCAATTAGTGGAAGGTGCTCAGGACGCTTTGGTTCATGTGTTTCGTTTACCTTTGAGTAAACATGATGATGGTCAACACACTTGAAAAGACTTTTACACAGAAGCGACATCATGTATCCCTAATCTATCTGAATATCGTTAAAGCCACGACACAACAACAGTCACATAACCTACAGCTTACATAATGTCCGTGTGTAATCGTGAACATAGATTCATTAACACAAAAATAACTGTTGTTACAAGTCTCAATCGTGTGGGATACGTTTGGCTCTGGTTTGAATTGGAACGTTCTGTTCCTGAAGGAAACAATGACAACGTCGGTTTCACTATTTCGGAACGTGAAAGAGAATACATTTCCTCAACGATGTCTGACTCCATGTTGCACAAAAGTAAAATGGTCTAGAAACTAAAATTGATGATAATACGTTGTCAAGACAACCCTGTGACATTTTCTATGATTTCCTTGATTGCAGTGTATGTCAGCTGATGGAAAACATACCATCCCAAGGACAGTATTAGAATTCTTTGTAGAACAAACCTGAAACACGTAACAAAATATAAGTCACCAATGGAATCATTTCATGCTACTGAGAATAACATAAGTAAACGATGTCATAAACACGATAGCTACGGATATATGAATTGTATATATTTCTTTTTCAGAAATATAAAATGTGTATTCATTTAAATAACGGCATGTACATACCCGCTATACATGCTGTGATAAAACATGCAATATTCCCTGCTATCATTGCCCGGAAAACGACAGCAGAAAGATCTTTCTTCCGAGGCGGAGCAAGCGCCGACAATCCCCCCAAAGTGATGCCTATCGAGCCGAAGTTCGAAAACCCGCACAATGCATACGTTGATATCACCTCCGAGCGTTCCTGGAACGTAAGACGCAAAATGGAGCATAACATGTATGTTGATGTTACTCCGAAAATAACACACATGAAACCAACCATTGACATCCTCTTTTTGAGTGGGCTTGGTGTAATATTGTTTAAGCGTAACATGGTGTTTCAACAGAATAAGCGGGACAATAAGATGTGATGAAAAGCGAATACGTTCCTTTTGTAAACACTAACTTCCATGAATCCTCTCTTAGTGAGTGAGTAAGCTAAGAATTACGCCGCTCTCAGCAATATTCCAGCTACATGGCGGCGGTCTGTAAATAATCGAGTCTGGACCAGATAATCCAGTGATCAACAGCATGAACATCGATACGATTTGGATACGATGGCATGTGCCAACCCAGTCAGCGAGCCTGACCACCCGATCCTGTTAGTTGCCACTTACGACATGCATTTGGTTACTGAAGATCAATTCTAACCCGGACCTTCACGGTCGAATCCTTTCTTAAGCGTTATATTACAATGAGTAAGAACAATATTATAATATTTTATATTATTTTGCATTAGAATAAAATATCCGCAACACAAATCATGTTCCATGTGAACAACGTACAACAATGTGTCTTGCTCAAGTAACTTCAGATGGAATAATGCAGCAAACACGAACCTCCATGAATCCTCTCTTAAGCGTCATATTCCACTGAGTAAGAACAGCAGCTTGGCCATCCCAGTACCACTCGTCCTTGTAGCCGTAGGTCTCTGTGTAGTTCAGGAACGTCTGTCTGTTTTGCAACAGTTCCTGGAGAGATCTGTAGGCGATGAACTCGTTCGTGAAGGTCTTCACGCCCACCAGCTCCGCCACACGACGACAGTCAGCTGGCTGTGTACCCATGAACAAGGCCACCGGATACAGCAGGTAGGAACAAATGAACTGAAAGGAGACAAACTCATTTCAAGCCACTTGGAGAACAATACAAAGAAGACAAGAAGACAAAGTCATCAATATTCCCCGCAATGATAAAATACTCTTCATGAATATGTCATCTAGTTAAGACTATGTCAAAT